CCCCCAGTCCCTCATGTTGTTCCTGGGTAAGAGAAAGTGGGGGAAGTTGCTGCTGATGGGGTTGTAAGATTCATTTGTGAGCGGTTGTTAAAATTTGGAACTCTAAGGAGGGAATTGGTCAATTTGACCATCCTGGTAGGTATTAAATGAGCCATCTCAGAAGTAGGAAGGGGAGGAGGACTGTGCTGTACAATCAAGAAAGAACAGCTCAGGAAATAGAGGAAAGAACTAGGAGGCAAAGGACATTTTAGAGGTCTAAATATAGGCATGTACATATGTAAATACATTTATATATGATGATGGGGAAATAGATCTATGTGCATATATTTATAGGTTTAGGATTACGGTAGCAGATGGACCCTGGGCCTCTACTCAAGTACTCCCTCGATGCAAGAACACTTTGTTCTATTGAACTAGCATGCTCGCCTTCCCAACACAATCGCTGAAGACAAAGTGGGTACATAAGCATATGTGGCAAAGAAAGCTGATGGTGCCCGGCTATCAAAAGATATAGCGTCTGGGGTCTTAAAGGCTTGAAAATAAACAAGTGGCCATCTAGTTCAGAAGCAACAAAGACCACATGGAATAAGCACACCAGCCTGTGTGATTACAAGGTGTCGATGGGCTCAGGTATCAGGCATCAAAGAACAAAAAATCATACCATTGTGAATGAGGAGGAGTACACAGTGGGGACCCTAAGCCCATCTGTAGGCAACTGGACATCCCCATATAGAAGGGTCGTGGTGAGGAGACGAGCCAGTCGGTGTGCAGTATAGCAATGATGAAACATACAACTTTCTTCTAGTTCTTTAAAGCTTCCTCCCCCCACCCATCATGATCCCAAGGATTCCTGCACTTCACTGTGGAGGTGGGGCAGGAGCTCCATTCAGTTCATACAGAAGTCAAGCAGGCATGGTCCGCACTGTAACACACTGTGAGTAGTTTACTGGGAGTGGGGATTGGAGTCCGGAAGAAAGAGCTGTTTCAACATGTGGCTCAGTTGCTGTGCAGGACATCCCCGCCCTGGTCTCGTGTGTTCTTGACCCACCTGCATTTTGCTTCAGCTCTGGCTGCGCCTGCTAGCTGTGCACAGGGGAAGCCTGATTGTACCTTGCCGTGGGTGCACCTGGATTCTCCACTGCCTTTGAAGAAGCTTGTGTGGCTCAGTGACACTGGTACATAGGTACAGCTGGAAGGGTGATAGAGTCAACACACTAGGGGTGACCCTGGGTCCCAGGAGACAGTGGTAACCACCACTGTCATGGGTTTCCCTCTGCCTTGCTACCCTAGTCCAGTTATTGAGCATTGCTTCCCCATACACTTTCGCTTGTCTGCCTTGTGTGCCTACTCTAGGGAGAACTACAAGCCCAAATCATGACTAATCTACATAAGATGTAATTAAATGCAGAATACTTAATTCATAATGTGAACATTTCCCCCCAAATATTTAATGTGAGATTGCAGGTTCATGGGTACAAATAAATGCTGTGAGTTGCATTTCAACAGAAATCAAAGCCAGCAGTGCTCCTTAGACACATTTCTTTGCAGTACTGTGTTGTGCACTTGGGGGTTATGTTGGAATGCCCGGAATTTTTCTGCAAGTTCATGTGTGAAGTACCCACCATCCAAATTCAAATGGGGGGTGCTTGCAGTGTTTTCTGTAGACACTAATGAATCAGGCTGTTGTGAGCTGGAATCCCCCACATCACTGCCATGGGCCGATGCCAACTCCTTGTTGACCTAGCGGAGAGCTGCCCCCTGGGTGTCAATCTCAAAAGCTCACTGACTGCCAGTGAGCCGACACTGACCCACAGTGACCCTATAGGACAGAGCAGAACTGCCTCTGAGTTTCCAGCCCTGTAACTCTGGGACTAGAAAGACTTGTTTTTTCTCCTGTGGAACTGCTGTAGTTTTGAACTACTGACCTTGAGGTTAGCAGCCCAATGCACAACCCCTAGGAGCCTGCACATTTTATTTATTTATTTATTTTTGGTCAGAACAGACAGACTCAGCTTTCTCTTGCAGAGCTCTCTGACTCAAGGGCAGTGTTTTGTGTTTTTTAACGTTAATTATTTGAATGGCCAGATGAGGCAACGGGCTTGACTGCACATGTATTCACACTAAAAACCATACCAACCCCCCATAATCTGCACCAAGTCCTTGGCCCAGAGGTGAGGGGTATGTCAGAGGCAGGTGTGACCCCAAACTGAGCAGCAGTGAGTTTGGCATCCGAGACAGACCCCCAACCCCTCTGGAGTGGGAGTCCAGCAGGATGGCGCGGAAGGACACTGTGGTCCGTGAGCCTCCCATCCGCCCCAGACTGTTCCACACTCTACACATGCGCAAAGTCAAGCAGCCAACGCGGTGGGGGTCACCCATGTTGAAATCCATGTTTTATTTTGTGGTCGTTACACAAGGATAGAGTAGTCATAGAATACAGGCCGAGGGAAGAAGGGAGGGGACTCCTTCAGGAGAAGTTGGGGTGGTTCCAAGATCACCGCTGACTACAAAGAAGCTCTGTTGCCACTAGACTAGTTGACAGAGGGCCATGTTCCTGTGCCCTTTCGCCAAATCCCACACCCTGAAAGGCAGTGATGGGAAGAAATGACACCCTAAATGGTGTGTGGATGGCAGGTACTTAACAAACAAACAAAAAGCCCCCTTGGCCCTCCGGAGGGGATTAACATGTAATCTAAACTTTCTGGCCTGGAGTTGATTCTGACTCCTGGTGACCCCAAGGGGTAGGGTCGAACTGCCTCTGTGGGTTTGAGACGGTAACTCTTTGCAAGAGTAGAAAGCGTCGTTTTTCTCCCTCGGGGGAGCTGGTGGTTTCAAACTGCGGACCTTGCAGCTAGCAAGCCAAGGCATAAGCCCTCTGCCAGCGGGGCTCCGGCCTCGGGGGCACAGGGGAATCCCTACCCTCAGAGTGGACTGAGCACGGTATCTGCAAAGAGGAGACCACGAGGTCGGGGCGCAGTGGGCATCAGGCCAGCCCGGCTGCGAGTTCTGATTCGCTGCTGCCTCGCTTTGTGCCGACCCGCTCCTTAACCTGGTGTGATTTGTCTGCGGCATTCGGGAAGGAGCGTCAGGTGTGCCTGCCGGGGAGCGCGGGTCTGTTAATAGCTATCAGGAGGGTTAGAGTCCGGAAGGGGCGGCTTCATTCTGGAGTCGTTAGAGTGGCCAGAACCTAGTAGATAGATAAGTCAAGTGGCTATTTGGTTCAAGCGCTGCTGCTGAATTCCTTTGGTAGATTTTATTTTCAGAAGAAAAAGAGAAGAACAAATGGATTTGGGCGTCAGCATCTGAGGTATGAAGTTAAGAGTAAGCACCAAAATGGGCCCTCCCTGCGCGCGGCACGTGGCAGAGAGGCGTGGCCGGCGGGCATCACAGGTTCTTCATGCACACCTGGCAGCGGCTGATGTGCGTCCGGATGAGGCCGGCCTTGAGCGTGTCCGCGGAGGGCGAGCCCTGGAAGTTCTGCTCGGGGATGGTGGTGAGCCAGAAGCTGTACTTGTTGGCATAGTAGTGGCAGGTCCCGCGGCCTCCGTTGCATTCGATGAAAGGCGTGGCCCGGAAGTCCTCCAGACAACTGCCCGGCGACACGAGGGACTGTCCACCACCTTCATCCCCGGCTGCTGTGTGCTGCGTGGAGGGGAGGAGACACAGAATAGATGGGTAAGTGCCAACAGTCCCCTCGCCCCCACCAATCCACTGCCATCGAGCTGATTCCAGCTCAGTAGCCCTGCAGGACCCAGTGGACCAACCGCCGCCCCCCCCTATCTCCCCTCCAGTCTGTGACTGTGAATCTTTATAGAAGCAGACAGCCTCATCTTTCCTCCTCGGGAGCAATTGGGGGGTTGCTACCCCCAACCTTTCTTTGGTAAGCAGCCCTAATGTGTGACTCATTGTAGCACCAGCCTCTCCAGGTATTGGGTGATTGGCTTTTGAGGCCGGGGGCTGGTTCTCACTGAACAAATCATGACCACCTATGTCAGTTCAGACCCACCTGCAACATGCTGTTCAACGCACCCAAACCCAAACCCGACGCACTTCCATCTCGGGAGCCGGGGTGGCATTGTGGGTTACATGTTGGCTGCTGACTGCGGGCCAGCAGTTGCGGGAGAACGATGAGGCTCTCTCCTCCCGCTGAGTTCCAGTCCCACACACCCACAGGGGCAGTCCTGCCCTGGCCTGGAGGAGGGCTAGGAGTTGCAAACTAGCGTCCAGAAATAAGGGTTTGTCTAACTCCGCCTTGGTCCATGAGAAGGAGGAGAATCCTCACGCTGGGCATTGGAGCATGCCACAGGCGGATGCTTAGGACACAGAGGCTCACGGTGTGCTGTTAAGTCAAAGCACAGCAAGGCCAAAAGCAGATTCTCCTCGGTAGCCAGAGCTCCCTACCATTGTATACGAAACAAAACACTACCCGCCCACTCATCCATTCACAGGAAAAACACCTGGTGGGATTGATACCACATGAAAACTTTTTTTTTTAATTAGCCTGTGCTAGCATCCTGAGGTGATAAGTTAACTGTGAACATTTATGGACAGGTAATGAAGGATGCGTGGTTTGAGTGATTTTTTTTCCTTCCTTGAATTATTTTTAAAATCTCCATCTACTGATTTCGCCAACAAGGAACATGGATTACTGATACGCTGGCTTTCGATTTTTCAGTCAGAGCTATGCAGCGGGCCACCTGCAGTCGGTGAGAATGGGCCCTTCCCCTTCTGTCTGAAGGAAGATAGTAACCTAGAGTCACGGAGAGTTAGGATTATGCCTCCTCTTCTTAATTTCTTCCCATTTTACCGCCTCGTTGCTTTCAGGTCCTGTTTGTTGGGTTATCGGGTGCTGTGGAGCCGCGTTAATGACCTCACGCGACAGAGTAGAATTGCCAGAGGACTTTCTAGGCAGGAGCCCTGGGACTGCGTCTGTTGACACACTCAGCTGCCAACCACAAAAGTGGGCAGTGGGGGCCCACCAGCCCCTCTGTGTGAGGCGGCGTGGCAGTCCGCTCTGTAAGGATGACAAACGTGGAAACCCTATGGGGCAGTTCTCCTCTGTCCTGTACGCTCAACATAGACGGTTGGTTCATCTTTATGGGCGCAGGTCCTCACCTCTTTCTCCCGTGGGGTGGTCGGCTGGGTTTAAACTGCTCACATTTTGATTAACAGCTGAGCATGTAACCATTGCATCACCAGGGCACTTGCGTGCTGTGTGGCCATTTCAGAATTGGACTTCAATTTCATAGTGCTTTTTACCTTTTGTTAAGGTATCTGGTAGGGGCCCTGTATCTCACTGTGTGTGTGTGTGTGTGTGTGTGTGTGTGTGTGTGTGTGTGTGTGTGTGTGTGTGTGTATGTGTGTGTGAGATATCATTTGCTTGGTTGAGTAAGCTCTGAGCGTCAAATGGTCAACAGAACACAATAATTAATATTACTCAGCTGCACCTGGTAGGCGTTTTAAAACCCTCCACTGTGATCTCTTTGGGAGGAGCGCTGGTGGCATAGTGGTTAGGAGTCGGGCTGCTAACTGCCAAATTGGCAGTTCAAAACCACTCGCTTCAGTCTTAGTAACCCAGAAAGGACAGTTTTCCCCTACCCTATAGGATCCCTATGAGTTGGCATAGATTCAGTGGCACGTTTTTTGGCTTTGTAACAACTTTGGGCAGTGGCTAGTTTAACCTTTTTAGAAAACAACAAGAAACAAACCAAAAATCCCCCCCAAAGCAAAACCAAAGCCCCTTTAGAGGCTTTCTGCTCAACGAGCAGAGCCTTGGCCGCCCAAAGCGGCAGTGTTCTTTGTAAACGGGAACCCTCAATGGATACAGAGCATCTTCCCCTGAGGCCTCCCAGCTCTCAGCCTCAGTCGGATGTGGATGAACTGCGGCCGCGCTCAGCTGCGAGCTGTAAGCCTGGGACACATGTCCCAAAGGAAGTTTCCTGGACAATGTGGGCAGGAGGAGGAAGTGCCAGGCTGGCCCCAGCTGGACTGGGATGATAGGCCTGGCCTCCTCTCAGGGGCTCTAAGCTCAGCCCCTCAACTGACCCTCAACCGTCCCCCTGGCTTCAGGCCTCACAACAGCTAATGCCTTTTAAGAGAATCACCTGGCAGCAGAAGTGACCTTGAACATGGGAACATCCAGCGTGGACCCCGTAATGCCGGAGTCTTCAAAACAGAAACTACACTGATGGCTGGTTAGATGGTACAGTTGCCAAAGACCGGCTTTGGGCGAGGTCACTTTGTGGACGTGGCAGCTTCTGCTGCCCCCAGGAGCTTCGGCTCCGGCTCTTGTGCTGGCTCCCAGCCTGGCCCTTCTGGGGTCTGGTCAAAGCTCATCCCATGAGGCCATGCATGTGAGTGGAGAGAGGGGGGGTGAGCAGGGCTGCTCCCTGGCGTCTGAGTCCCTGCTGTGGGCCAGCGAAAGCCATGTCTTCTCCATTCCAAACTCAGCTCTCATTGTGCTCGGACGCCAGCACTTCCTAACCTCTCAAACATGCACCCTACCCTCAAAGGATGGGTCGAAGGGCATTTAATGCATTGACACAACATGCACCAGTCCTTCTGGGGTTTAGGCCTTTGCTTCCTAACCAGGCAGACGGAGGCAGACTTGGGAGATGAAACCATTAAATAGATCAGCTCATTTATCTGTCAGGAATGCCACAGGGACTTTTCCTGTGATTCTTAGAAGTCAGGATATTTCACAACCATCTGCCGTGGCTCCTGGCTGCATTCGCCAGCCTGGAGGTCTCTGCCATCGTCTTATGCCCCTTGCCTTCTGTGGAATGTCGAGTTCTAGGCTTGCAGAGGATAATATGTGCAAATGCTGTTAGTCTGCATTGAAGATACGAATGAGAAATGTAATTGCCAATGAAAGAAGGGACGTCTCTGACTTTTGGGGAAGCCCTGGTGGCGTAGCGGTGACACATTGGGCTGCGATCCGCATGGTCAGTGGTTCGAAACCACCAGCTGCTCCTCAGGAGAAAGACAGGGCTTTCTACTCCCCTGAACAGTTACAATCTTGGAAACCCACTGGGGGGTTGTTCTGAGTCGGCATCGACTGGATGGCAGTGAGTGCAATTAAACTTCATGAGGGAGAAGGCTCATTTGCTTAATTTAAATTTAATTATGGGAGTTAAAAACAAAAAAAGAAAATAGACCAAAAGCTCGTGCCCCTCATAATGCAGGGACACTAAACAGTGAGAGCTGTTAGGGAGCTAAGCTAAGTAGGCTATGGGAACTCAGTAGATTCCCTTCAAAAATCACTTGAAATAATAACTTATTGAAAAGTAGAAACCATACTTAACACTGCATGGAATTTAGTATCTCGTTCTTCAACTCATTCTATCAACCTCACTGACATGGAATTGATTCCTTCTCGTAGCGACCCTGTAGGACAGGGTAGAACCACCTGGGTGTCTGTAACTCTACAGGAGTAGACAGTGCCACCTTTCTCCAGATGGCAGCTGGTGACTTCAAACCGCTGACTTTACCATGATCGGCCAATGCGTCACCACCAGGGCGCCTTCCCTGGATCCGTGATCTCTCCTCACGCATGAAAATGCCAATATTCAGGTACCTATCCCTTCCAAGTGTCTAGATTATTTCTGTTGTGCTGACAAAATTAGCAAACATGTAATTTATATGGTTTAAGTAATTTAGTTAATATTTAACACATTGAGTATCCCAGAGATACAGTTGGAGTGGTGGCGACTGTAACACATGTCGATGGGATGGGAGACCCACTGTTCTCAATGTGCCTCTCCTTTCTCTCTACAGGGGTTTATTAAAGCAGGAGAGTAACCCGGGGCATTACAGTGTTTCAGGGCCTTCCCTTGAGGCCAAGCTAAACCTAAGCTGGCCAGAGTAGAAGCTTCTCCGTCTTATATCTAAAGGCACTCTGGATCTGCTGTTCCAGAATTTTCTTTAGTGGTGTAATCCTTGTAAGTCAAGCAGGTAGTAGCTATTTCTGACGCGTATCCTAGGTTCTAGGTAAAAGATGCTTAGGATTCCTAGACAGAAGTCTCCCTGCATTTAGCTTGCTGGTAAAGCGAGGACACCTTTACGTTTGGTGCTGTGTTTGGTATTATGGCTAACAGGCCAAATTGATCCTCATTGCAGTGTTGCTGCTGGCCCGGGCACAGGCTTGGCACCAAATTAATGAGCCACCTCTCGGTGAGGGCGGCATGCCAGCTCTCCTGCACCCATTGGCTGGGTGCCCGTGCGCAGCATACAACCTGAACAACCTCTGTGATCACCCTGCAGATAGCTGCCCATTGCTGCTGCTTGCGCACTCCCCAGGGTGTGCTTGGGGGAAGGAACTCGAGTTCTGTCGGGCTCCGTGCTCTGAGAGACAGCAGGCAAGTTCCACATACCATGAGGAAGGAGTAGCCGATCCACAAACTCCGCCACCCGGCTGGGCAGTGGGGGATGGAGACATCTTGACTGTGGACCGCAATGGCGACAGCCGGAGCCTCGCACACCGAGCAGCGGCTGATGTAGGGCTTGATCTCGTCTTCGGCCACAGGCATCATAGGGAGCGGTGCCGTGGTGGAGAGCCAATAGGACTTGTCATTCCGGCTGGCGTAGTAGCAGACGTCGCCCGGGTTGCAATATAGGAAAGGCATGGTGCTGAAGCGTGCCAGGCAAGAGCCTGCCAGTCCTGCCGGGAGAAAGCCCTGCCTTGAGATCACGACTGAGGGGCCTGGGAAGATGCCCCCTGCAGCCCTGGGCCAGCCTGCCTGCCAGGGCCCCGAGTCCGGGACGTGCCCTGCCCCATGGCCACCTGTGCAGAGGGCAGCCATGCACTGGGGACACTAAAGGGGTCCTCCTCCCTCCCTCCCGTTGCTTTTACAAAGACGATGCTGGCATCAGTGCCCCTGCTCTTCTGGAAGTTCTCAGACACACCCCGGTCCTGAGCCAGGCCAGCTGGGAGGTGTGTGTTTAGGCAATAGCTTTTGGGGTAAAGACAATGGCTGCCAGATCTTAAGAGCACCCCCCTCCCCTCGTGTCTCCCCCGCCTTCAGGAAATCCTGAATGGATTTCCATTCTGAAGACATCTACAGTGACATCACACAGTCCTTCCCTCGTTCCCATCCCCCTTATTCCAAAAGCTCCATCAGATGGCTCTGTGCCTTCTGGGTGCAGAGACTGGTTTTCCCTTGCGGCCAAAAGATGACCACTGATCTGATTGTACCATCACAGACAGGGACTTTCCCTCCCCCACCCGGCTACTTTTTACTGCTTGTTATTTTTCCTGTGCTCTCTCCAGACTTTTTCTTCCTCTTGGCTCTCTCTTTATTTCCTTGAATAAATACATACACAGACAGACGCATATGCAGGGGCTTTGGCTATAGGAGGGTCTGATGTTAATCACTCCCCGCTGACTGCAGCTTGTTTACAGAACTTGGGGCCAAAAAGCAGGAAGAAAACCTGGTCATGATAGCCTCCAGGTGGAGAGGGAGCAACTGTGTGGCTCGGGCTCCGCAGCACCGGAGCCTGCAGAAGTGCTGCTTAAAAAGGCAGGTCCCGCCTCACTTTGCTGCTCTGAGACTTTCAGGGCCTGTAAGATTTGTGCTTCAAAAGCCGCTTTAATCTTCTCTGAAACCCGCAAGAATGTGCCATCCCTCAGTACCAACTCATCAGTCTTAAAGGAGTTAATGAGTCTCCCTGGGACCTTTTGATCCGGACCATCCCCAGTGCCCAAGAACGGAGCCTGTGAGAGTCACGGGCGGGGCTTACCCAGATCCTGGTTGTGGGCTTTCTCCTGCCCTTCAAAGTACAGCAGGCTGTATCCGCTCCAGAGCTTGTTCATGCCCACGGGGCACATGGGCTCCTGGTCGGTCTGGCTGTGCTTCACCAGCAGGTAGCCGATGCTGACGCTGCGGCCAGGCATGCCGGGCAGGCCCGGGCTCCCCTGACGGCCAGGCTCGCCTAGGGCCCCAGAGGAAATCGTCAGTCACCTTTTCAAACACCAGCTCCCTCCGCCAGTCTACTTGGACTCATGGCAATGCCACCTGCATCAGGGCCCTACGGTGCTACACAAGGTTTTCAAAGGCTGACTTTTAGGGGTAGTTGATGGCTGGGTTTTTCTGTTAAGATGTCTCTGGGTGGACTCAACCATGCAGCCCTTTCAGTTAGCACCTGACCATGTTAACTGGTTGGACCACCCCAACCACGTTCTGAACTAGCCTGAAGACCTCAGGATCACAGGGGGCCGGCAGACCTGCTCAGGACAGCACCGAGATGCCTGCAGACTGTGCGCCTCTTTCCCCCCTCCCAAGCTAGGGTCTTGGTGGCTTTGCCCTTTTGAGACAAAAGCCTCGTGGGAAGGATTTGGCCTAAATTTAGGGATAAGAGTGTAGGAAATCAGGGTCATGAGAGGAGGCAAGTAGGCTGGATCTCCTCCAAGAAAGGACCCCGACTGGTGCACAAGGCGTGTCCAAAGTGGAGCGAGAAGAACATCTCGGGGTTCGGGGAGTGCCTAGGAGCATCCCGGTGCAGCCTCCCACCCAGACCAGGGTTCTCCTCTGTCCTACACCTCGGGCCTCCCTCTGCTGGACACTGGTGAGAAACCAAGGTCCTTCCTTTTCCACACAGACTGTTCCAGGGGCTTGAATGGCTGTTCCAATGACCTGACATCTATCTGAACTCCACTCTTCCCCGGAGCCCCAACCTGTCGGACCTGTCACCTCTCACACAGGTGAAATCAGCTCTTCTGATCGATCCGGTCTGCCCACTGGCCCTTCCCCTCTCCAAAGGGCATGTTCAATATCTCATCCCGCTCGTGTTCTTGGACATCAGTGCCCTGCCTTGCACTACCCGGGTCTCCTACTGCGGGATGAGCACCGATTCATCAGTGTTGGTCTGAGATGTTGATTCTCTACGTGATCATGTTCTCTGGCCATGGTTCAGTCCCCATGGAGGCCAGGGGACTGCTGTTTCCTTGGGGGTGGGCATTCATGATGTGGCCATCATTTCATGATCACAGGTGATCAGACAATGGGCTCAGGCCCAGACTCTGCCACTGAGTCAATTCTGACCGACAGCAACCCTGTGGACATAGAAGAACTGGCCCTGTGCATTTCCAAGGCTGTAAATATTGATGAGCACAGGAAGTCTCATTTTATCTCTCAAGAGCAACTGGTGGTTTGAACTACTGACCTTGTGGTTCCAGCAGCTCCACATGTTACCCACTACACTACGCCGGGTAGATTAAAGTAATTCTCAAGCTGTCATCTTTTTCTTACGTTCATGCATGGCTACGATGGAAACTTTAGGTCTCTCCCAGTCTTTGGGGGCCCTGCTGGCTCAGGACTTACGCCCCGTGCTGCTAACGGAAGGGTCAGCAGTTTGAACCCACCAGGTGCTCGGTGAGAAAAACATGAGGTTGTCAGCTTCTGTAAAGCTTCCATTCCATAAAGACTGGGAACCTTGGGGGTTGGGGGGGGCGAGGGAGGGACTGTTCTCCTGTCTTAGAAGGTTGCTGTGAGTCAGAATTAACTTCTTTATCCCGTCCTGCACCTGTGCAAATAACTGTTAAGAAACAAATCCTGCAAACCTGCACAGTGGCCCGTATTCACCTGTCACTTTTAGCTTTAGTCTCCCAGCGCTTTAAGTCTCTTGCCTCTTACGATATGGCCACTGCGCTCCCAGCTCTGCGTCACCTGCACATTTCTTAGTGACAGGAAGGAGGGAGCCTGCTCGGCGCGCTCTCCCTGTGCCCAGAGGTCATGGAGCATGCCCAGAAATGAGAACCACTGCCAGGAGAGAAGCTGGCCAGGACGGAAGAGCCGAAAACTCTGACCACAGCCTCCCTCTCTGTGTGCTCAGCACGCCCTTCTCTACCATCACAAGGAACCCGGGGTTCCTCCCAGTCAGGGTGCCACTGGAGACGTGCATGCTGCTGTGGTGCTCAACAGGTCCCAGCAGAGCTTCTAGAGCAGGGGTCCTCAAACTTTTTAAATGGGCCAGTTCACTGTCCCTCAGACCCGTTGGAGGGCTGGACTATAGTTTAAAAAAAAAAAAACATGAACACATTCCTATGCACACTGCACATATCTTATTTTGAAGTAAAAAACAAAACGGGGCAAAAACACCTGGCAGGCCAGGTAAATGTCTTCGGCGGGCCGCATGTGGCCCACAGACCGTCACCTAAGACACACTTGGGAGAAGGCCTGGTGATATATCACCCTGCCCCCCCCCAGGAAGCACCCCCCCTCCCAAAACAAAGAAACAAACCAGCCAATGAAAACCCTATGAATCACAAAAGGTTGAGCTAGGAACTGGTTATGAGGCTGGGTAGCGTTTCGTTCTGTGGGGTGCGGGGTCACCATGGGTTAGGGGGCCAATGAAAGGAATGTATCTTAAGAGAGAGCGCTGACCGCATTCTCGGCCCAACTTCTCCTTCGGGCACCCCTCACTTACCGATATTGCCAATCGGCCCTTGGTGACCCATGGGTCCTTGGTCCCCTCGGAATCCTGGCTCAGCAGACACACCACCCCTTCCCTGGGCTCCAGACTTCCCTGGTGCTCCGCGGAAACCTGCCCAGAGACCACAGTAAGGAAGAGTGAGACTGGGATCGGGGACAATGGGGCCCTGCTAGCGCTCAGCAGATGCTTCTGAGCAGGAAACCCAAACCAGGGAAAGAAGGCTTTAGCTGGAGAGAGGACGATAGGTCAGCTCCGAGATCCTACCTGGTTCTCCTGGGGGGCCCTGAGGCCCCATTTCTCCCTGTGCACCGGCTGGACCTCTCCTTCCATGGGGGCCCGACGTACCCGGTTCAACTGCAATCCTCTGGGGGATTCCCGCAATCCCTGGCGACCCTAAAGATCCAGGGGCCCCTGGAAAGGAACGAGACAGCCTGCCGTCAACCCAGTGACACAACTTCGCTTCCTTGTTCTGAACTCTCCTCTCCCATGACCCGCTGAGATGAATCGGGGCGCTTTCTAGGAAGACTGGTGGTCAGGAGATGAGAATGGTTAGACCACATCGGACAGGTAGCTTAGTTCTTGCCGCTTAAGAAGAGGATGATTCCATCCACCCTAGCCCTGTGGGCGCAACCGCAGGCTCAGAGCAGGCCCAGGCCTGGCTTTCTGTTTGCTGTGCAGACGGTGTGGCTCCCTGCCTAGGAGGGTTATGACAGCCTGAATTTGGGAGCTGACCTCTACCAGAAGGACAGTGACAGGGCCAGAAATGGGTTCCCCAGACTCCCTTCATGGCCACCCTTGTTCCAAGACGGCAACTTCTGCAACTGAGCAGGCAGCCACTTACCAGGGGTTCCTCTCTCTCCTTTGGGCCCTTGGGGGCCTCTGTCTCCCACATTTCCTGTTGCACCCGTGTTTCCCATGAAGCCTTGGTCTCCTCTGGATCCTGCAAGACAAATAAGTCATTAGGGACTCACAGTGAGAGAAAGACACACACACCACACACCACACACACACACACGTCATCCACAACCCAGGCTGAGTGTCCCCTGAGAAGGAGACATGTGAGGGTTACCTTTTTCTCCCGGGAGACCAAACACGCCAGGTCTGCCTTGTGGTCCAGAGTCTCCCACCCATCCTTTGGTCCCTGGGTTTCCCAGAAGTCCGGGATTGCCCGAATCGCCTTTGCTTCCCGGAAGAGCAGCAGGTCCGGGTGGTCCTTGGGGCCCTTGGTAACCTGTTGACATCCAGCACAAGACACAAGAGTTTGAACAGCATCTCTCGGATGGCAGAGTCTCCATGGGCAAGGGCACTAGCTTCTGGGTGGGTGGGCTCACCCCAGGCCACCAGATGCCAAGACCATCCAGTTCGGGGGATATCGCTGATCCATTTTTAACCCCGGCTGGCTTTCTCCTCACACCACCTCTTTTCACCCCTCCGCTACTATGTGGTTGGACCATACGGGGATTAAAGGTCATCTTTGTCTAAACACCAGGTAGAAAAGGTGAGGAACCCTTTATTTCCTCTTAAGTTGCAGAGCTCCCTGCAGTGCTGAGTATGTGTCTTGGTGCAAGTGCCCAACTTGGGCCGCCCTTTGGTTTCCCAGTGACTGACTGTGATGGTTGAAATCAGTGAGTGTTGTGTTTGTGATGACCATGAGCATGATCTACATGGGCAGCCCCGGCTACTGTTCTTGATCATCCCTGGCCCTCAGTTCCTGCCCCAGAGAACCCAATGGGCAACTGCGTGAATCCCACTTACCTTGCAGGCCAAATATCCCTGGTGATCCTTGGTCACCGGGTAACCCAGAGATATTGGAAGCGGGAGTGATGCCCGGGAATCCTTGCAGCCCTGGGCTCCCGGCTGGGCCGCGTTCACCTGGGGAGGAAGCCCAAACCCAATGAGGTTACTTCTCATGTTGCCATCCGATTCTTCCTTTTCTGACATTGCTCGTCCAGGAGCAGAGCTGAGAAGGATGAGCTAGTCAGTGAGATGTCCTGAAGCCAAGGGAGTGCTCAGGGCTGTAGGTTCTCAGGACGGTCTCAGCCAGGTTCAGGAGGGCTCAACAACAGCCTGTGTCTCCTCCTCAGAGGCTACCGGGCCACAGCCGGTCCCAGCATCCCCCTCCATTGGGCTGGGCGTCTCCCCTGCTCTCAACTTGGCTTCTGTGACTGCTTAGCTGTGCCTCAACCAACCACAGCCTCTGCCACAGACTTGGCCACAAACTCCTTTCTGGCCCAAGCTCCTTTCTGTTGCTGGCTGTTGATCGCTCTGTTAGCACAGGCAATGGGGGTAGATGATTGCAGTGTTAGTAAAATGACGATTCGAGAGCACAGCCTTTATATTACAGAACGTCTCCCTGTGGTTCCCCTTCAGCATGGTGGGTCACTGGTTGAAATACAGGCACCAAAAGATGCTGGTCCCTTAAGGGAAATTACCCAGATGAGGGCATTTGTGAGCCTTCTCTGCCACAGTCTCGTTCCACAGGCTTTTGACTGAGTGTGTGCAAGTGCATTGCTGAGTGGAGCCTAACACTCAGAGCAGAAGGCTTTCCATTTCTCACCTTATAACTCCATGATCATTTGTCTTTCTTTAAGCTCTTAAGAGTATGGAATTAATAAGAAAAGTGGGCAGACACACAGACAAATGAGCAGAGCTGTCAGGCCATTCAAAGGCAGGCTCATCTCAATGCTGATGGAAAGTGGGAGTTGGGGAAATTGATACAAGTCTTCCATACTCCAACAGCATCAACAAGAATGGTTAGTTCTATCCACCACCCTCCAGGTTGGCCTGGCTCCTTCATTGCCATCACCAACACAGAGATGTTCCTATGGGAAGATTCTGCTATCGATCGTAGGGGAAATGATTACTCTCGATTCTGAGTGGGATGCAGTAAATAAACACCGGCATGTCCATTTAGAAGAGGGTCTGTCGCACCACTACTTACAGTCAACAAACAAGTGGCTTTTTAGACCTGAGGGGTTTACTGAGAGGCCATACATAGTCTGATAGCAAATCACACCAATTGAGCTTCTTCTAACTATCCCCATGAAGTACCCCAAACAGATGCTGGGTGTCAGTGAATACTGACAAAAGTTTCAGAGTTAGATGATTCTGTAAAATCCCTGGATTGGCTAAATTCCCATACCCACACAAAATGAACTTTAACTAACTCACTGCAGTGATTAGGATTTTGTTAATGAGAACATTTAGCAAACAGGAGGCACCGTGCTGGAATCAGAATCTAAACAGTTAGGTTTGCTCAGTAACCCCCGTGGATCTTCACAAGGGCTGAAATGAAAAACACAAAATCAAAAAAGTCTCATTAATGGTGATTAGATGAAAAGCCATTTTGTATCACTGGCAACCAGGTCCTGAACTGACACCTGAATGTCACCTGCAGAAGTAGTTGAGGCTGCACATTCCAGCAGAAGTGAAACTCATCCAAGGGGAGACAATAGGCTGGAATGATTCCCACAGCCTCTGCCAAGAAGAGTCCTCACAGGCCATCTGTGAATGTCACTCTGGACAGTAATCCTCCTGTCATCCTATCGGCAGAAGTCCATTGGGCAGACCGAAGCTTCTCCTTTGCTCTGCCTCAGACACTGCTCCGAAATCACCTGCTCTTGGCTCTGACAATGGACCATTGGGACTTTCATACGGAGAGAAGGGCAGGGAGGGGACAATGGCTTTTAAAAACAGGCACAGTTCCTTAGCATTTGAAAGGACATGTTCTAGGTCTCTCTGATGCAATGCAGAAAATCACACAGTAGATTCAAGGAGAGTTTGATAAACAGATGCAGCAAAAATTCAATGTGTGAATAGCTTATTAACAACCCGTGATACGAAGGTGAGACAACCTTGCTTGTTGAAAGTGCAGTGGACTTGAAGCACTTGCTGAGGAAGATCAAGGGTCATGGCCTTCAGTACGGGTTACAACTCAATGTAAAGAAGACCAAAATCCTCATCACTGGACCAATTGGTAAGATCATGATCAACGGAGACAAGGTTGAAGTTGTCAAGGCTTTTGTCTTGCTTGGACCCCCAATCAATGCTCATGGAAGCAGCAGTCAAGAGATCAAAAGACACATTGCAGTGGGTCAATCTGCTGCAAAAGACCTCTTGTAGAGAAAAGCAAGGCTGTTACTTTGAGGACTAAGGCATGCCTGCTTCAAGCCATGGTATTTTCAATAGTCTCATAGGCCTGTGCAAGCTGGAAACTGGAGGCAGACCAAAGAAGAATGGCTGCGTCTGAAGCAGGGTGCTGGAGAAGAACAGGGAAGGCACCGTGGACTGCTATAAGGACAAGCTGATCTGTCTTGGATGAAGTAAGGCCAGAGTGCTCCTTAGAGGCAAGGATGGCGAGACTTGGTCTCATGTACTTTGGAGATGTCATCAGTCCCTGAAGAAGGACTTCATGCTTGGTAAAAGAGAGGGGCAGCGAAAGAGAAGAAGGTCATCACGAGGTGGATAAACAGTGGCTGCAACAGTGGGCTCATGTACAGGGACAACCGTGAGGATGGCGCAGGACTGGTCAGTGCTTCGTTCTGTTGTGCCTGGGGCCACGACGGGTCAGACCCGATGCCACCTAACCACAATAGCCAAACCCAAACAGTGCTGTCAAGCTGTGGAGTCTATTTCAATGTACAGTGACCCAATTGGGCAGAGAAGAGCTGCCCCACTGCGTTCCCAAAGTTCAAACCAAACGCTTTGGGATTCAAACCATCTGCTTCAGAGAGTTGCTGCGTGTTTCAACCACAGAGTCACCAGCCAGCCCAATGTGGCGATCACTAAGTTTAACCCATTATCATGGAATTGATCCTGGTGCCGAGGGAGTCCTTGAGTTCAAGAGAAGGGATGTTTTAGAGTACACACACGCTTTCAGATTCATGTCCAAAAAGGGTTATCCTACCCTTCACAGAGCTGATCACCGACAAATATTTACAGAGCAATTACTATATTCCAGACCTTCTCCAAAAACTGAAACCAGGCTCACTGTCACTGAGTGGATGCTGACTCAGTGACCCGCGAGGACTGGGTGGAACTGCTCCTGTGAGTTGCCGAGACTAACTCTTTACGGGTATTAGAAAGCCTCATTTTTCTCCCATGGAAGGCTGGTTTTGAACCACGGACTTTGTGGCTTACAGCCCAACTTGTAACCACTGCGCCACCAGGCCCCCTGCCAGACATTCTAGCAAGGGGCAAATGAGGGAATAAGACAAGCGGCGACAACTGTCATCCTTCCTTTGTTGGCGATTCCTGAGCGTGCACAAGCTGCTGTGCGAATGCAGTGTTAACACGTCACCACGGTAGAAGTCATGGCTTGCAGTTCATGAGCCTGGGCTATGGGCCAAGCCCTGAGCTCACACCATGTCACGGCTGCAGACCTCATGGATTCTGACCCTCTCTGTAGCTACATCTGCTCTCTATCCAGTTGTTCTCATTCCTGAGCATTAAAACATCGAATCGCATCTCCCCCGCCCCAAGTATATGCTGGAAAGTTCAAACCTTTATTCCTGTGATACAGTCCCACTGGGGAATAGGGCTGTCTTTGTTAGGTCAATGAGGACCTAATCAGTGGAGGGTGTGTCTTTGAGATATGAAGAGAGCAGGTTAGACACCAAAGAAGGGAGTGCGTATGTGGAAGATAAGATGGCAAGGAACCAAGGAACAGATGCTGAAAAGAGATGGTTGCTTAAACTGATTGCTTAAACTGTGAAAAAACAAATGTCTGTTCATGAATGCCACCTTCTTGTGGATGTCTGTTATAGTGGTACTGAGTTTTCAGGCCCCTTCCAGACAGCAAATGGATAATATAATAATCCTGACCCTCCTTGAAAAAAATAATGCTAATATATTTATAGGTTTAGTATTAAGGTAGCAGATGGACATTGGGCTGCCACTCAAGTACTCTCTTAATTCAAGAACACTTTGTCTTACTAAATTGACATTCTATGATTCTCACCTTCCTGACACAATCACTGAAGACAAAGCAGGTGCATAAGCAAAAGTGGTGAAGAAAGCTAATGGTGCCCGGCTATCAAAAGATATAGTGTCTGGGGTCTTAAAGGCTTGAAGATAAATAAGCGGCCATCTAGCTCAGAAGCAACAAAGACCACATGGAATAAGCACACCAGCCTGTGTGATCACGAGGTGTCGATGGGATCAGGTATCAGGCATCAAAGACCAAAAAAATCATATCATTGTGAATGGGGGGGGGGTGCACAGTGGAGACCCAAAGCCCATCTGTAGGCAACTGGACATCCCCTTACAGTAGGGTCGCAGGGAGGAGACGAGCCAGTCAGGGTGCAGTATAGCAATGATGAAACATACAACTTTCCTCTAGTTCTTAAAGGCTTCCTCCCCACCACTATCATGCTCCCAATTCTATCTTACAAATCTGGCTAGACCAGAGGATGTTCACTGGTACAGATAGGAACTGGAAACAAAGGGAATCCAGGACAGATGAACCTCTCAGGACCAGTGGTGAAAGGGCGATATGGGGAGGGTGGAGGGAAGGTGAGGGAGAAAGGGGGAACCAATTACAAGGAACTACATATAATCCCCTCCTTGGGGGATGGACAACAGAAAAGTGGGGGAAGGGAGATGTCAGACAGTATAAGACATGACAAAATAATAATTTATAAATTATCAAGGGTTCATGAGGGAGGGGGAGCAGGGAAAAATGAGGAGGTGATACCGAGGACTCAAGTTGAAAGCAAATATTTTGAGAATGATGATGGTAACAAAAGTACAAATGTGCTTGACACAATGGATGTATGTATTGTGATTCTATGGATTGTGATAAGAGTTGTGCGAGCCCCCATAAAATGATTTTTAAAAAATAATGCTGTCATGAGGATTCTTTTTAATCTTGCCTTTTATGTGTAGGGACATAGGTACTTCTGTTCATCCTCCCAGTTCCCAGCAAGTGTATTTTTACAGAGAAAGCAGAGAGGTCAGCCAGGATCACATAGCACAGTGACAGGCAGAATAAGAACTCATACCCAGGTAGCTGACTTCAAAGTCATGGGCCTGGTCAGTCTTGCTGTGTGTTCTCCGAGGCTGGTGCTAACAGACAGCTCCTAAATTCTCATCCTCTGAATACTACCATGCATCTTCCCAGAGCACACAGTCAGGCTCCAGTGGGCGGCCCCTATCTTCTTCCTCCCACCTTCAGGTCACTACCTCAGGGCCAGGTTTGGGGGGATTCTGAAAAGGGAGGTGGCTGACTCTGGAGAGTCAGAGGGGCTGGAAGCCTTTAGACACTCCATCCAAGGTGATCACAGGCCTTGGATGCTGACACTTCTCTGTAGCCTGACGTCTCCCTATGGGTTCTCAGTTCTGATGTGAGAGGGAATGCTGGCCTAGAGTGAAGAAAACCACCAAAATATCCCCTAAACGAAACTCATTTCCATCAAGATGGTTCTGACTTAAGAGTGACCTTACTGGGTAGGGTAGAACCGCCCTTGTGGGTTTCTGAGACTATAACGCTCTATGAGAGTAAGAAACCTCGTTTTTCTCTCTCTGAAGGGCTGGTGGTTTTGAACTTTTCTGGACCAGATTAGCTCTGGCTTTTGTGCACAGAAGCCTGAGCGTTTGTCACTAGCTAGAAATCCAGTGTGTGACCGGGGCACTCAGTCCAGGTGTATTGCTCAGCCACAGAGCCTAAGTCCCAGAGATGCCCCTTGGCTCTAGGTTGCTTACTCGGCCAAATGCCATGGGGGTGTGGGGTGGGGGGCATGGAGGTGGCCAAAGAACAACCACTGAGGTGCTCAAATTAATCGAGAGTTCAGTATTTTGAATCATCTCTGGTTCCTAGAGACGGTTTATATTTTTATCTGGGAACTTACTCCACTTCTTGGTTAGCTCCAGCTCGCTTTGTTTGGTGAATGAGTAGGCTGGGGAGGGAGGAGGTTACGTTGTTTTTCTCAGCAATGAAGACCACCTATCCTTGGCTATTTCTTACCCAAGTGTCAGGGCCACTTCGCTTGGCTCCACCCAAAGGCAGGAATGGATTTATTTACCAATACGAAGAGTGCTTGCTATGTGCTAGGCGCCCCGGGTCTACACAGAGAATATGCCGAGATCCCCACTGCCAGGGAAGTTCTTCACAGTAAGAGACTCCAGCATAACCCCAACGAATATACACTGATGGAATAAAAGACAGTTTAGACCAGAATGTAAAGGAGGAACTCTAAGAGAGTTGGCAACAAGAAGTCCCCTCCAGAGAAAGCAGCATGTTCCCACACTTTCCCCAGCTCATTGCTCAGACTCAAAACATTTGGGAAACGTTCAGAGTCAGCAATCCTATCGGGCAGCTCCTCGGAGTTTCTCAGCTATCCTGCCGTCTGTATGGGGGACCACCTTGTCCTTTCTGCTGCCCGGGTCTCCTTTGGTTCTGGGTAGGTAGGGAGGCATGCTTGCTTTGGAAATCTTTGGCCTTACCTGGTATGCCTTGCTCCCCTTTTTCTCCCGGCAGCCCTGCGGGGCCTGGGACGGTATTGGGCTCTCCTGGCTCGCCTCTATCCCCAGTGGTGCCTGGGAAGCCTGGGTTCCCACTGAGGTCTGTACCTGTGGAAGGGTTAAAACAGCAGTTGATGTCAGCGTTTTCCACCATGTAACCGTTCATTTTCACCAGTGTGCCTCAATGTGACTCCCCCAGTAGAAGAACAAGGCAGTGAGGGGACCTCAACTTGCTGTACGGTCCCAGTGCCACAAAATCTGGGATTTGGGGGGGATCATAGAATCATTCCTAAGAAAATGGAGACCCTTCAGAAGGTCCACAGTTGACAGTGGAGCTGGCGCCCTGCCCCCAGGCTCTTGGCTCCTGGCAACTGTGTTCAGAGTTAGGTTTTAGAGTTGCATGCTAGTTAAATGCTTCCTTGTTCACCTAGCAGGTGCTCTGAGCACGCAAGGGCAGCAGTGAGTGACCCTACATGACAGAGGAGAAGTGTTGCATTATGGGTGCAGATCGAGTGGGTTTGGCCCGCTGGCTCTTCTGTTACTGGCCCAGGGCTTAACCACTGGGCCACCAGGGCTCGTTTTGTCCCGCACAGCTGAGAGGGGCACGAGGCTGGCGGAACTGCTCCGATGGTGGGGAGTAAGTTACCTGGGGATCCTGGAAAGCCTTTGGTGCCAGGTAGGCCGTGCAATCCACTGATTCCTCGGATGCCCGGAAAACCTGCGAGAATGCCACCGGTTAGTATTGCATTCAAACCCATGCAAACACACGGCACTTAGGGATGGAAATGAATCACTTTAGGTTACTCAGCAAAACCATTTAACATCATTATTTCTTTTTTCATAGACTTAGAAACACAAAACAAAACAAGTGTCGATTCGCTAGGGCCGAAAGGGAGCTGGGAAGTGATGCATTCCTCTTGCTGCCAGACGAGTCACTGGTAGATATCTAGTTTGTTAAAACCCGTGCTGGGAGAAACAGCCTAGCATGAAATCCTCTCTGGATTTCCGGAGAAAAACACTGCTCATGATGAGGGCCCCTGCATCGGGGGCAAGGAGTGGGTCAAAATGATCCCATCCGTGCACAGAGAGAAGCCCCCGGCTGGCCTCATGGAGGATGGGTCGGTGCCCACCTCAGGCCCCCCTCCCCCTCCGAGTCCTGCCCAGTGGCTTGGTCGGCCCTCCTCTTAGGTCAAAAGCCAGAACCAGCCCCCAGGGGAACAACGGGGAAATTCACATCTGTCCCTGAATGGCGCCCTCGCATTGCCTTAACAATGACCCATGTGGGCCCCAGTGTAGCCTCGGGAGGGTTTTCCTTGACACTTGTTCTTAGAGCACTGTGTTTCTATTCTGACTGACGTGAACGATGGCGGCCCCTGCATCTGTGTCTCCCATCAACCGTTGACCGTCTGCCTGGAACTCATGAAGTCGTACAGAAAACAGCGTCAGCAGGCCAGCCGGCTACAGATGCCTCGTTTGTGGTTTGGGTTTCCTCTACGGAAAGAATGACTGTACCTGGCAAACCCGGCGTCCCTTGCCAACCATAATCTCCTTTGTCTCCAGGCAGTCCGATCCGTCCTGGTTCCCCCTGTGGTCCCTGTAGTCCTGTTAACCCTGGAAAGCCTGGGGAGAAACACATCATGAAATCTGAGAACACAGGGCACACCGTCCTCAGAAGAGCGCTTGCCTGGCGCCTCCTGCTCATTGCTCTGGTGGAAGGGAAGGGGTTTGGGGTAACGACTGAAGAGTGTTGGGGGACAGGATGACGGTGGCAAGTCTGACTAATAATTAAGTATCTTTCCTTCAAGCCTGGAATGCCACAACCCCCACAGTCAAGTCCTACAGAATGAGCCTGGCTTGGCCAAGAAGCAAATAAGAGGAGAGGATGCCCATGAAACTGGTCCAGAACTCGGGGAGGAGACGAGCCAGTCAGGGTGAGATGTAACAAAGATGAGAAATACAACTTTCCTCTAGTTCCTAAATGTTTCCTCCCCGCTCCCACTACCATGACTCGAATTCGACCTTGCAAGTCTAGCTAGACCAGAGGATGTACACTGGTACAGATAGGAACTG